TATGGTAAGATTTGTTGCTAGAGCGTAGCATATTGTTTCTATAATTTACTTCCCCTAAGTCGACAAATAAGTATTTTTTTTAACAGAATGTCAGCACTGTGGCTACATTTTATATTGCTTCTTTTAGGAAACATACTCACAATTTGCTGTATGAAGCAAGTCAGCTTGTTTCTTACTACAATACCAGATCGTATAAAAATAAATAAACATTTAAAGAGTTGCACTCGTTTAAGCTTTTACGGAAACGTACATCCTTTTCCATATTTTCAACAATGAGCATGTTTTTATATATATTAAGATCAACAGAAAATGTTAAAGTATGCAATGGTATTAAGGCCGTTTGGAATGTTATATCTAATGTTTGTGTTTTTAGATTTTATGAGGGTTTCTGTGATCATAAGCTGAAACATGTAGCAGTTTTCTAGGAAAACAAATTACTACGTCGCTTTAGAGAACCAAATTTTTTGTCTGCATCCAGAGAAATTTTGTTTTGGCGCAGAACTTCAAATGGCAGGGCAGTTTTGTGGGCGTTCCTTCTGTTTCATTATCAGATGGAAATCCTCAAATGACATATTACTAAAGCCCGTCTTAGCCGAATTTGAAGCAGGATTAAGGGAATAGCTGAAGAAGAAAGTGTATTCTTTTGTAAATTTGCAGTGATGTTTGGAATTATATTCCCTGTTCCATCATCGTCACACTCATTGGTATGTGCTTTATACTTTGGAGAACGCTGATGCTTTTGCTTTGAAGAAATTACGCTTACGTTTGAAGCTGAATCTTTTCGTGTTTAAAACTCGAATGTAAATAATCGGAAGAAACCTTTTTGTAACAATTTTGTAGGCACAGTTCTTGCAACAAAATTAGACTTTTTCTCATTTTGCTTTGTCGCCGGCAATGTGGTGTAGTAACAATGGTACAACTTTTTAATTCCCTTGGGTCAACATAAGCAATATCGTTAGAAAGGAGAAAAATCGATTGTTCTTGGTTTGGTAACAAATCTGACATACCGTTCTTCTGTAACTTGCACCAACGTTTTGTCTGCTATAGGGAGAATAGTTCGATCATCATTATAGCATGTTTCCAATGGATATGGAGTACAACCCGTTAGGAGTTCTGGCGTACCTAAGGAACTATTTACCACAGTTTGCCTTTGTGGAAGCTCAACATGTGAAGACTTATTTGGTTGGAATATAGGCACATTGGCGTATGGAGGGGGATCTTTTTCTCATTTACAGGCAACCCACTTTGTGGTGCTAGAGCCCTGGTAACAATGCTGCCCTCCTTAGACACGTTATATGGTTCTGGTGTTTTATTTATAATAATGGAAGAATTAACAGTTACAAGTTGAGCTGTTGGATCCGTCCGACTTCTTTAGTGGTATTAGAACTTTTATAGATATTACTTTAGGATTGTATAGATTCATATTTTTCTTTTTGCTACACTCTTCTGCACTTCTGGTGAATGGATCCGATTCAAAAAAATTGCTTTTAGGGCATACCGAGTTCAAGGGTTCAACAGGATTATTTGAAATGACTTTTACTGTTCCGTAAAGGGATGAGCTTTGTACTTCCTTATGAATGTTGTTACTACGTTGTTTGTTATCAACATATTCGAAGGGTTAAGACAGGTTCATTAAAATTGTCTAAAACTTGGTCTGGGCCCGAAACAATGGTTGGCCCATCTTTTTCACTTGTTTTAACAAAACATTTAATGGGCGTCGATGTCCACATTTCCGTACTTGAGTCCGGAATATTCCCTGCAACTGTGTCAATAGATTTTTCCTGGAGCTATATTTGCCATGTAGTTTCTTTTTGATATTCCCAATTTCTTTTTTATTAAACGGTGCCATTGCAAAAACATCTAGTTCGTCTTGGTCTTTGCAATTAACTACAATTTTAAGAGCGTTACTTTCTTCGAATGTTTTATGTTGGTATCGATGTGAGCGTTTGGTATAGATTTGGAGGCAGAGTCTGTCTCCTCTGAGCCATAGTCTAATTCGTCATCCAAAAGTAGAGGTTTATCGCCAAAACGCATTGAGGAATTCTGAAGGATGTTCATCTTGTTCACAGCTCAAGTCCGAAAGGGCAGATGCAACAGCTAAGCTTCATTTGCGGAAGCAGCACAAGAGTTTCTGTCTTTTTTTCGCATACGCACTTTTACCACTACGCGGCTACTATCATCTTCGTGTGTCGTTACCGATTCACATTCGCATGGTATGCGGATGAGCTGCAAGTCTTCACGCCTTTCGCTTACGCCGTCCAAATCGGGTCGTTTTAATTTACAATTATTTCGGGATATATGACTTACATGATTCTCATCGAAGAAGTCATCTTCTGTCCTTAGATCGGAAGCGGAACCAATGGAGTCAGCGTCATCATTACATTTACTTATATCATCGACAATAGTTTCCATCATTTCGGCTTGCTTTTGCTGTTTTTCATGTTCTTCCAAAACTGCATTACTTCCTGAGCAGCTTGGTGAGCTGCTGATGACGGTCTCTTTGTTGTTGTTTTCTCTTTCAGTTTTTTTACAATCGGAACTTTAATGTGCGTTTTGTCTACCTATGATATGGCCGCCTGATGAATTTTATGAATTGTATCTGGAATGTGTGTTTGTGACAATTTGTTTAAAGATTGCTTTTTGGAGGTACCGCAACTAGCAGTGCAATTTTCTTGGAAGAATTCCGAATCGGAGTCGTCCGAGGTAACCATTTCGTTGCTACGTAATTTTTCATATTTATTTGGATATTCTTATTTATGAATTTGATTAGATGGTCGTCATAAGAAGACATAGAAGTATTGGAACCCATATATTTGTGTTAGAGTTGGAAGATCTACGACACAAAATAGTATATAGCTCCAGTCTCAATATTAAAGATAATTTTTCAGCTTCAAATTTACAAGATACCTTACTTCCTTTTTTATTTAACTAAAACTCTAATGCGGCCAATAGTGGCTTTAATTTCAAATCTCCTCTAAATCAACTAAATTAACAATTGCATTATATGCATACTTACCTTGAGCAAATTCGAATGTTTTTGTACAAATAAAATTGAAACACCATGATCCCATCACACCAACTGCTTCTAAGAAATTTGTTATTCATGCGCATCTGTTGACATTCGCTATGTTACTGATTTAAACATTTTCACTTCAATTCACAAAGTTGACATTTTTTATTCCCGCACAAATATATTTCTCTTTACACCGGCATTGGCGCTCTTAAAGAAATTATTATTTTATATATTTTAAACACCCTTTGCAACACACCTTTCGGTCAATTGAATCATATGATTGCACATATTAGGCTATAAACGTCATTAGAAGATAATCGTGTTTCAATGTTGTATTTGCGCAGTATTATTATAATTATTTGTACATCTTTTTGAGACAGTAATAAAAAGGAGAAGTTATGCTTTTTGCAAAACCGCGCAGTAGCCAAAAACTCGCCAATTAAATGTTTCAGAAGTACTGTTACTTGAAGTGATTCCTTGCACATAAAGTGACTAAAAAGTAGGAATGTAATAATTAGTGTCTGCTGGAAATATTACGTTGTAAAAGCCGGTGATTTTGTTATAAAAATAGAGGTGAAGCTTTTAGATTATTGTATTCCGTGAATGATAAGAATATGGAACAGTTAGGCATGTAATAATGTATATCGATTGATTTTTTGCGTTGTTGTTTTCATATTGTTAATTTTTTTTAAAAGATATATTGATCGACGAAATCTGTCCAAGAAACAACTTTATTTAGGAATACGATAAATTTCGGTTAACAAAATATCTTAAAATACTATAATTTAATTATTAAAAATGTTCTTTAATGTTGCAACCGGAAGAGCGTTTTGACATAAACAAATTCGATTTCATGATGTTGCTACTGAAGCCAAATTTATAATTCAAAGGCCAATTCCTATCTATCCAGCAAAGTTAATGTGAAGTTTTTCTATATAAAGTAGTGTTCATCAATTTGAATAATAATCTGCGTTATCAACAAATATTTATGGTACCCATATCAAAAGTCGAAGACATTTCAACTTGTGCCATTTAATTTGCTTAGAGATTTAAAACATCTTTGGCTGGGTAGGTGCTAAAAACACAATGTCTTCAACAAAACATAAATTAAATTCATTACAATAATGAAGTTTATTGATTTGTATTTCAATCATATATAGTAGCTTGACACAAGAATAAAAAATGTGTTTCATAAGCAGATATTCGAACATATAAACCATTCGTCGTACAAGTGTAAGCAGATCCCTATATCACAATTTGTTACCAAATTTCTAATACGCAGGCACAATATTAAATGTTGACATTATACAAGTTTCTTGCCTCCTTCCGTGTATTAACTTCTGGAAAGAAAGTGCAAATATTAAGAATTCTTACTTACATTACACAAGTTAACTATTGCTTCCGTCGGAACATAAGTTTTTGAATACGTGCGCGTTAAGCTAATTTCACACTATGAAAAACGGAAGGATTTACCTCCAACTGAAATAAGAATTAATTTTTCATTTAAAATTTCTTGCTTCTTATTTCAGCTAATCGTGATTTGCGTCGGTCAACATTTCTTAATGTAAATGTGGACTTAATTCTGTACAATAGTTTAAGGATGAGAAGATGAAATTCAAAATTAAGTGATTCTAATTTATAGTTAAATACGTAGCCAAATGCAGTGTATTTCTAGACATTCTTAACACAAGTATTTGGTAGGTTTAGGTTAAAATGTCGGTAAAGGTTGCTATAGCAAAATATTCTATTTGTATGTTTGTACAAACCTGAAGTAAACAAGGTTAATTCTGACCACATTAAATATTCTCAGTTTGGTTAAACATAATATTTATTTGAGTTTTAATTAACATAAACGAAACAAATGTGTCAAAACAACGTTACATTATAATGCTTCGACAATGATAAATAATATACTATATGTGTTGTTAAATTCAATAATAAAATGTGAGATAATTACTCTGTTATCTCTGTATAAATAAAAGCACGAATAAAAATATTTTTGGTCGACCTTTCCATCTTTTTTTATACGCCCTCATTATTTAGCGTATTTATTATTGAAGACCGCAAGGACACGATACAAGAAAAATAACTTTATTAAATTCCATCAAAAGGTGCCAGGCTTCTTTAGCCTAACTTCGCAGAATTTTAGTTAGCGATTAGGTCGTAATGGGTACATATTACACCACAACATGATGTGATAATATAATTTATATTAATGATAAAGTTTAAATGATTTATATAGAGCTGCTAATGTTATAAATTCCAAGTTTTATAAATATTTTGTGTAGAAATTTATGGTAAGATTTGTTGCTAGAGCGTAGCATATTGTTTCTATAATTTACTTCCCCTAAGTCGACAAATAAGTATTTTTTTTAACAGAATGTCAGCACTGTGGCTACATTTTATATTGCTTCTTTTAGGAAACATACTCACAATTTGCTGTATGAAGCAAGTCAGCTTGTTTCTTACTACAATACCAGATCGTATAAAAATAAATAAACATTTAAAGAGTTGCACTCGTTTAAGCTTTTACGGAAACGTACATCCTTTTCCATATTTTCAACAATGAGCATGTTTTTATATATATATTAAGATCAACAGAAAATGTTAAAGTATGCAATGGTATTAAGGCCGTTTGGAATGTTATATCTAATGTTTGTGTTTTTAGATTTTATGAGGGTTTCTGTGATCATAAGCTGAAACATGTAGCAGTTTTCTAGGAAAACAAATTACTACGTCGCTTTAGAGAACCAAATTTTTTGTCTGCATCCAGAGAAATTTTGTTTTGGCGCAGAACTTCAAATGGCAGGGCAGTTTTTGTGGGCGTTCCTTCTGTTTCATTATCAGATGGAAAATCCTCAAATGACATATTACTAAAGCCCGTCTTAGCCGAATTTGAAGCAGGATTAAAGGGAATAGCTGAAGAAGAAAGTGTATTCTTTTGTAAATTTGCAGTGATGTTTGGAATTATATTCCCTGTTCCATCATCGTCACACTCATTGGTATGTGCTTTATACTTTGGAGAACGCTGATGCTTTTGCTTTGAAGAAATTACGCTTACGTTTGAAGCTGAATCTTTCGTGTTAAAACTCGAATGTAAATAATCGGAAGAAACCTTTTTGTAAAATTTTGTAGGCACAGTTCTTGCAACAAAATTAGACTTTTTCTCATTTTGCTTTGTCGCCGGCAATGTGGTTGTAGTAACAATGGTACAACTTTTTAATTCCCTTGGGTCAACATAAGCAATATCGTTAGAAGGAGAAAAAATCGATTGTTCTTGGTTTGGTAACAAATCTGACATACGTTCTTCTGTAACTTGCACCAACGTTTTGTCTGCTATAGGGAGAATAGTTCGATCATCATTATAGCATGTTTCCAATGGATATGGAGTACAACCCGTTAGGAGTTCTGGCGTACCTAAGGAACTATTTACCACAGTTTGCCTTTGTGGAAGCTCAACATGTGAAGACTTATTTGGTTGGAATATAGGCACATTGGCGTATGGAGGGGGATCTTTTTCTCATTTACAGGCAACCCACTTTGTGGTGCTAGAGCCCTGGTAACAATGCTGCCCTCCTTAGACACGTTATATGGTTCTGGTGTTTTATTTATAATAATGGAAGAATTAACAGTTACAAGTTGAGCTGTTGGATCCGTTCCGACTTCTTTAGTGGTATTAGAACTTTTATAGATATTTACTTTAGGATTGTATAGATTCATATTTTTCTTTTTGCTACACTCTTCTGCACTTCTGGTGAATGGATCCGATTCAAAAAAAATTGCTTTTAGGGCATACCGAGTTCAAGGGTTCAACAGGATTATTTGAAATGACTTTTACTGTTCCGTAAGGGATGAGCTTTGTACTTCCTTATGAATGTTGTTACTACGTTGTTTGTTATCAACATATTCGAAAGGGTTAAAGACAGGTTCATTAAAATTGTCTAAAACTTGGTCTGGGCCCGAAACAATGGTTGGCCCATCTTTTTCACTTGTTTTAACAAAACATTTAATGGGCGTCGATGTCCACATTTCCGTACTTGAGTCCGGAATATTCCCTGCAACTGTGTCAATAGATTTTTCCTGGAGCTATATTTGCCATGTAGTTTCTTTTTGATATTCCCAATTTCTTTTTTATTAAACGGTGCCATTGCAAAAACATCTAGTTCGTCTTGGTCTTTGCAATTAACTACAATTTTAAGAGCGTTACTTTCTTCGAATGTATTTATGTTGGTATCGATGTGAGCGTTTGGTATAGATTTGGAGGCAGAGTCTGTCTCCTCTGAGCCATAGTCTAATTCGTCATCCAAAAGTAGAGGTTTATCGCCAAACGCATTGAGGAATTCTGAAGGATGTTCATCTTGTTCACAGCTCAAGTCCGAAAGGGCAGATGCAACAGCTAAAGCTTCATTTGCGGAAGCAGCACAAGAGTTTCTGTCTTTTTTTCGCATACGCACTTTTACCACTACGCGGCTACTATCATCTTCGTGTGTCGTTACCGATTCACATTCGGCATGGTATGCGGATGAGCTGCAAGTCTTCACGCTTTCGCTTACGCCGTCCAAATCGGGTCGTTTTAATTTACAATTATTTCGGGATATATGACTTACATGATTCTCATCGAAGAAGTCATCTTCTGTCCTTAGATCGGAAGCGGAACCAATGGAGTCAGCGTCATCATTACATTTACTTATATCATCGACAATAGTTTCCATCATTTCGGCTTGCTTTTGCTGTTTTTCATGTTCTTCCAAAACTGCATTTACTTCCTGAGCAGCTTGGTGAGCTGCTGATGACGGTCTCTTTGTTGTTGTTTTCTCTTTCAGTTTTTTTACAATCGGAACTTTAATGTGCGTTTTGTCTACCTTATGATATGCCGCCTGATGAATTTTATGAATTGTATCTGGAATGTTGTTTGTGACAATTTGTTTAAAGATTGCTTTTTTGGAGGTACCGCAACTAGCAGTGCAATTTTCTTGGAAGAATTCCGAATCGGAGTCGTCCGAGGTAACCATTTCGTTGCTACGTAATTTTTCATATTTATTTGGATATTCTTATTTATGAATTTGATTAGATGTCGTCATAAGAAGACATAGAAGTATTGGAACCCATATATTTGTGTTAGAGTTGGAAGATCTACGACACAAAATAGATAATAGCTCCAGTCTCAATATTAAAGATAATTTTTCAGCTTCAAATTTACAAGATACCTTACTTCCTTTTATTTAACTAAAACTCTAATGCGGCCAATAGTGGCTTTAATTTCAAATCTCCTCTAAATCAACTAAATTAACAATTGCATTATATGCATACTTACCTTGAGCAAATTCGAATGTTTTTTGTACAAATAAAATTGAAACACCATGATCCCATCACACCAACTGCTTCTAAGAAATTTGTTATTCATGCGCATCTGTTGACATTCGCTATGTTACTGATTTAAACATTTTCACTTCAATTCACAAAGTTGACATTTTTTATTCCCGCACAAATATATTTCTCTTTACACCGGCATTGGCGCTCTTAAAGAAATTATTATTTTATATATTTTAAACACCCTTTGCAACACACCTTTCGGTCAATTGAATCATATGATTGCACATATTAGGCTATAAACGTCATTAGAAGAATAATCGTGTTTCAATGTTGTATTTGCGCAGTATTATTATAATTATTTGTACATCTTTTTGAGACAGTAATAAAAAGGAGAAGTTATGCTTTTTGCAAAACCGCGCAGTAGCCAAAAACTCGCCAATTAAATGTTTTCAGAAGTACTGTTACTTGAAGTGATTCCTTGCACATAAAGTGACTAAAAAGTAGGAATGTAATAATTAGTGTCTGCTGGAAATATTACGTTGTAAAAGCCGGTGATTTTGTTATAAAAATAGAGGTGAAGCTTTTAGATTATTGTATTCCGTGAATGATAAGAATATGGAACAGTTAGGCATGTAATAAATGTATATCGATTGATTTTTTGCGTTGTTGTTTTCATATTGTTAATTTTTTTTAAAAGATATATTGATCGACGAAATCTGTCCAAGAAACAACTTTATTTAGGAATACGATAAATTTCGGTTAACAAAATATCTTAAAATACTATAATTTAATTATTAAAAATGTTCTTTAATGTTGCAACCGGAAGAGCGTTTTGACATAAACAAATTCGATTTCATGATGTTGCTACTGAAGCCAAATTTATAATTCAAAGGCCAATTCCTATCTATCCAGCAAAGTTAATGTGAAGTTTTTCTATATAAAGTAGTGTTTCATCAATTTGAATAATAATCTGCGTTATCAACAAATATTTATGGTACCCATATCAAAAGTCGAAGACATTTCAACTTGTGCCATTTAATTTGCTTAGAGATTTAAAAACATCTTTGGCTGGGTAGGTGCTAAAAACACAATGTCTTCAACAAAGCATAAATTAAATTCATTACAATAATGAAGTTTATTGATTTGTATTTCAATCATATATAGTAGCTTGACACAAGAATAAAAAATGTGTTTCATAAGCAGATATTCGAACATATAAACCATTCGTCGTACAAGTGTAAGCAGATCCCTATATCACAATTTGTTACCAAATTTCTAATACGCAGGCACAATATTAAATGTTGACATTATACAAGTTTTCTTGCCTCCTTCCGTGTATTAACTTCTGGAAAGAAAGTGCAAATATTAAGAATTCTTACTTACATTACACAAGTTAACTATTGCTTCCGTCGGAACATAAGTTTTGAATACGTGCGCGTTAAGCTAATTTCACACTATGAAAAACGGAAGGATTTACCTCCAACTGAAATAAGAATTAATTTTTCATTTAAAATTTTCTTGCTTCTTATTTCAGCTAATCGTGATTTGCGTCGGTCAACATTTCTTAATGTAAATGTGGACTTAATTCTGTACAATAGTTTAAGGATGAGAAGATGAAATTCAAAATTAAGTGATTCTAATTTATAGTTAAATACGTAGCCAAATGCAGTGTATTTCTAGACATTCTTAACACAAGTATTTGGTAGGGTTTAGGTTAAAATGTCGGTAAAGGTTTGCTATAGCAAAATATTCTATTTGTATGTTTGTACAAACCTGAAGTAAACAAGGTTAATTCTGACCACATTAAATATTCTCAGTTTTGGTTAAACATAATATTTATTTGAGTTTTAATTAACATAAACGAAACAAATGTGTCAAAACAACGTTACATTTATAATGCTTAGACAATGATAAATAATATACTATATGTGTTGTTAAATTCAATAATAAAATGTGAGATAATTACTCTGTTATCTCTGTATAAATAAAAGCACGAATAAAAAATATTTTTGGTCGACCTTTCCATCTTTTTTTATACGCCCTCATTATTTAGCGTATTTATTATTGAAGACCGCAAGGACACGATACAAGAAAAATAACTTTATTAAATTCCATCAAAAGGTGCCAGGCTTCTTTAGCCTAACTTCGCAGAATTTTAGTTAGCGATTAGGTCGTAATGGGTACATATTACACCACAACATGATGTGATAATATAATTTATATTAATGATAAAGTTTAAATGATTTATATAGAGCTGCTAATGTTATAAATTCCAAGTTTTTATAAATATTTTGTGTAGAAATTTATGGTAAGATTTGTTGCTAGAGCGTAGCATATTGTTTCTATAATTTACTTCCCCTAAGTCGACAAATAAGTATTTTTTTTAACAGAATGTCAGCACTGTGGCTACATTTTATATTGCTTCTTTTAGGAAACATACTCACAATTTGCTGTATGAAGCAAGTCAGCTTGTTTCTTACTACAATACCAGATCGTATAAAAATAAATAAACATTTAAAGAGTTGCACTCGTTTAAGCTTTTACGGAAACGTACATCCTTTTCCATATTTTCAACAATGAGCATGTTTTTATATATATATTAAGATCAACAGAAAATGTTAAAGTATGCAATGGTATTAAGGCCGTTTGGAATGTTATATCTAATGTTTGTGTTTTTAGATTTTATGAGGGTTTCTGTGATCATAAGCTGAAACATGTAGCAGTTTTCTAGGAAAACAAATTACTACGTCGCTTTAGAGAACCAAATTTTTTGTCTGCATCCAGAGAAATTTTGTTTTGGCGCAGAACTTCAAATGGCAGGGCAGTTTTTGTGGGCGTTCCTTCTGTTTCATTATCAGATGGAAAATCCTCAAATGACATATTACTAAAGCCCGTCTTAGCCGAATTTGAAGCAGGATTAAAGGGAATAGCTGAAGAAGAAAGTGTATTCTTTTGTAAATTTGCAGTGATGTTTGGAATTATATTCCCTGTTCCATCATCGTCACACTCATTGGTATGTGCTTTATACTTTGGAGAACGCTGATGCTTTTGCTTTGAAGAAATTACGCTTACGTTTGAAGCTGAATCTTTCGTGTTAAAACTCGAATGTAAATAATCGGAAGAAACCTTTTTGTAAAATTTTGTAGGCACAGTTCTTGCAACAAAATTAGACTTTTTCTCATTTTGCTTTGTCGCCGGCAATGTGGTTGTAGTAACAATGGTACAACTTTTTAATTCCCTTGGGTCAACATAAGCAATATCGTTAGAAGGAGAAAAAATCGATTGTTCTTGGTTTGGTAACAAATCTGACATACGTTCTTCTGTAACTTGCACCAACGTTTTGTCTGCTATAGGGAGAATAGTTCGATCATCATTATAGCATGTTTCCAATGGATATGGAGTACAACCCGTTAGGAGTTCTGGCGTACCTAAGGAACTATTTACCACAGTTTGCCTTTGTGGAAGCTCAACATGTGAAGACTTATTTGGTTGGAATATAGGCACATTGGCGTATGGAGGGGGATCTTTTTTCTCATTTACAGGCAACCCACTTTGTGGTGCTAGAGCCCTGGTAACAATGCTGCCCTCCTTAGACACGTTATATGGTTCTGGTGTTTTATTTATAATAATGGAAGAATTAACAGTTACAAGTTGAGCTGTTGGATCCGTTCCGACTTCTTTAGTGGTATTAGAACTTTTATAGATATTTACTTTAGGATTGTATAGATTCATATTTTTCTTTTTGCTACACTCTTCTGCACTTCTGGTGAATGGATCCGATTCAAAAAAATTGCTTTTAGGGCATACCGAGTTCAAGGGTTCAACAGGATTATTTGAAATGACTTTTACTGTTCCGTAAAGGGATGAGCTTTGTACTTCCTTATGAATGTTGTTACTACGTTGTTTGTTATCAACATATTCGAAAGGGTTAAAGACAGGTTCATTAAAATTGTCTAAAACTTGGTCTGGGCCCGAAACAATGGTTGGCCCATCTTTTTCACTTGTTTTAACAAAACATTTAATGGGCGTCGATGTCCACATTTCCGTACTTGAGTCCGGAATATTCCCTGCAACTGTGTCAATAGATTTTTTCCTGGAGCTATATTTGCCATGTAGTTTCTTTTTGATATTCCCAATTTCTTTTTTATTAAACGGTGCCATTGCAAAAACATCTAGTTCGTCTTGGTCTTTGCAATTAACTACAATTTTAAGAGCGTTACTTTCTTCGAATGTATTTATGTTGGTATCGATGTGAGCGTTTGGTATAGATTTGGAGGCAGAGTCTGTCTCCTCTGAGCCATAGTCTAATTCGTCATCCAAAAGTAGAGGTTTATCGCCAAACGCATTGAGGAATTCTGAAGGATGTTCATCTTGTTCACAGCTCAAGTCCGAAAGGGCAGATGCAACAGCTAAAGCTTCATTTGCGGAAGCAGCACAAGAGTTTCTGTCTTTTTTTCGCATACGCACTTTTACCACTACGCGGCTACTATCATCTTCGTGTGTCGTTACCGATTCACATTCGGCATGGTATGCGGATGAGCTGCAAGTCTTCACGCTTTCGCTTACGCCGTCCAAATCGGGTCGTTTTAATTTACAATTATTTCGGGATATATGACTTACATGATTCTCATCGAAGAAGTCATCTTCTGTCCTTAGATCGGAAGCGGAACCAATGGAGTCAGCGTCATCATTACATTTACTTATATCATCGACAATAGTTTCCATCATTTCGGCTTGCTTTTGCTGTTTTTCATGTTCTTCCAAAACTGCATTTACTTCCTGAGCAGCTTGGTGAGCTGCTGATGACGGTCTCTTTGTTGTTGTTTTCTCTTTCAGTTTTTTTACAATCGGAACTTTAATGTGCGTTTTGTCTACCTTATGATATGCCGCCTGATGAATTTTATGAATTGTATCTGGAATGTTGTTTGTGACAATTTGTTTAAAGATTGCTTTTTTGGAGGTACCGCAACTAGCAGTGCAATTTTCTTGGAAGAATTCCGAATCGGAGTCGTCCGAGGTAACCATTTCGTTGCTACGTAATTTTTCATATTTATTTGGATATTCTTATTTATGAATTTGATTAGATGTCGTCATAAGAAGACATAGAAGTATTGGAACCCATATATTTGTGTTAGAGTTGGAAGATCTACGACACAAAATAGATAATAGCTCCAGTCTCAATATTAAAGATAATTTTTCAGCTTCAAATTTACAAGATACCTTACTTCCTTTTTATTTAACTAAAACTCTAATGCGGCCAATAGTGGCTTTAATTTCAAATCTCCTCTAAATCAACTAAATTAACAATTGCATTATATGCATACTTACCTTGAGCAAATTCGAATGTTTTTTGTACAAATAAAATTGAAACACCATGATCCCATCACACCAACTGCTTCTAAGAAATTTGTTATTCATGCGCATCTGTTGACATTCGCTATGTTACTGATTTAAACATTTTCACTTCAATTCACAAAGTTGACATTTTTTATTCCCGCACAAATATATTTCTCTTTACACCGGCATTGGCGCTCTTAAAGAAATTATTATTTATATATTTTAAACACCCTTTGCAACACACCTTTCGGTCAATTGAATCATATGATTGCACATATTAGGCTATAAACGTCATTAGAAGAATAATCGTGTTTCAATGTTGTATTTGCGCAGTATTATTATAATTATTTGTACATCTTTTTGAGACAGTAATAAAAAGGAGAAGTTATGCTTTTTGCAAAACCGCGCAGTAGCCAAAAACTCGCCAATTAAATGTTTTCAGAAGTACTGTTACTTGAAGTGATTCCTTGCACATAAAGTGACTAAAAAGTAGGAATGTAATAATTAGTGTCTGCTGGAAATATTACGTTGTAAAAGCCGGTGATTTTGTTATAAAAATAGAGGTGAAGCTTTTAGATTATTGTATTCCGTGAATGATAAGAATATGGAACAGTTAGGCATGTAATAAATGTATATCGATTGATTTTTGCGTTGTTGTTTTCATATTGTTAATTTTTTTTTAAAAGATATATTGATCGACGAAATCTGTCCAAGAAACAACTTTATTTAGGAATACGATAAATTTCGGTTAACAAAATATCTTAAAATACTATAATTTAATTATTAAAAATGTTCTTTAATGTTGCAACCGGAAGAGCGTTTTGACATAAACAAATTCGATTTCATGATGTTGCTACTGAAGCCAAATTTATAATTCAAAGGCCAATTCCTATCTATCCAGCAAAGTTAATGTGAAGTTTTTCTATATAAAGTAGTGTTTCATCAATTTGAATAATAATCTGCGTTATCAACAAATATTTATGGTACCCATATCAAAAGTCGAAGACATTTCAACTTGTGCCATTTAATTTGCTTAGAGATTTAAAAACATCTTTGGCTGGGTAGGTGCTAAAAACACAATGTCTTCAACAAAACATAAATTAAATTCATTACAATAATGAAGTTTATTGATTTGTATTTCAATCATATATAGTAGCTTGACACAAGAATAAAAAATGTGTTTCATAAGCAGATATTCGAACATATAAACCATTCGTCGTACAAGTGTAAGCAGATCCCTATATCACAATTTGTTACCAAATTTCTAATACGCAGGCACAATATTAAATGTTGACATTATACAAGTTTTCTTGCCTCCTTCCGTGTATTAACTTCTGGAAAGAAAGTGCAAATATTAAGAATTCTTACTTACATTACACAAGTTAACTATTGCTTCCGTCGGAACATAAGTTTTGAATACGTGCGCGTTAAGCTAATTTCACACTATGAAAAACGGAAGGATTTACCTCCAACTGAAATAAGAATTAATTTTTCATTTAAAATTTTCTTGCTTCTTATTTCAGCTAATCGTGATTTGCGTCGGTCAACATTTCTTAATGTAAATGTGGACTTAATTCTGTACAATAGTTTAAGGATGAGAAGATGAAATTCAAAATTAAGTGATTCTAATTTATAGTTAAATACGTAGCCAAATGCAGTGTATTTCTAGACATTCTTAACACAAGTATTTGGTAGGGTTTAGGTTAAATGTCGGTAAAGGTTTGCTATAGCAAAATATTCTATTTGTATGTTTGTACAAACCTGAAGTAAACAAGGTTAATTCTGACCACATTAAATATTCTCAGTTTTGGTTAAACATAATATTTATTTGAGTTTTAATTAACATAAACGAAACAAATGTGTCAAAACAACGTTACATTTATAATGCTTAGACAATGATAAATAATATACTATATGTGTTGTTAAATTCAATAATAAAATGTGAGATAATTACTCTGTTATCTCTGTATAAATAAAAGCACGAATAAAAAATATTTTGGTCGACCTTTCCATCTTTTTTTATACGCCCTCATTATTTAGCGTATTTATTATTGAAGACCGCAAGGACACGATACAAGAAAAATAACTTTATTAAATTCCATCAAAAGGTGCCAGGCTTCTTTAGCCTAACTTCGCAGAATTTTAGTTAGCGATTAGGTCGTAATGGGTACATATTACACCACAACATGATGTGATAATATAATTTATATTAATGATAAAGTTTAAATGATTTATATAGAGCTGCTAATGTTATAAATTCCAAGTTTTTATAAATATTTTGTGTAGAAATTTATGGTAAGATTTGTTGCTAGAGCGTAGCATATTGTTTCTATAATTTACTTCCCCTAAGTCGACAAATAAGTATTTTTTTTAACAGAATGTCAGCACTGTGGCTACATTTTATATTGCTTCTTTTAGGAAACATACTCACAATTTGCTGTATGAAGCAAGTCAGCTTGTTTCTTACTACAATACCAGATCGTATAAAAATAAATAAACATTTAAAGAGTTGCACTCGTTTAAGCTTTTACGGAAACGTACATCCTTTTCCATATTTTCAACAATGAGCATGTTTTTATATATATATTAAGATCAACAGAAAATGTTAAAGTATGCAATGGTATTAAGGCCGTTTGGAATGTTATATCTAATGTTTGTGTTTTTAGATTTTATGAGGGTTTCTGTGATCATAAGCTGAAACATGTAGCAGTTTTCTAGGAAAACAAATTACTACGTCGCTTTAGAGAACCAAATTTTTTGTCTGCATCCAGAGAAATTTTGTTTTGGCGCAGAACTTCAAATGGCAGGGCAGTTTTTGTGGGCGTTCCTTCTGTTTCATTATCAGATGGAAAATCCTCAAATGACATATTACTAAAGCCCGTCTTAGCCGAATTTGAAGCAGGATTAAAGGGAATAGCTGAAGAAGAAAGTGTATTCTTTTGTAAATTTGCAGTGATGTTTGGAATTATATTCCCTGTTCCATCATCGTCACACTCATTGGTATGTGCTTTATACTTTGGAGAACGCTGATGCTTTTGCTTTGAAGAAATTACGCTTACGTTTGAAGCTGAATTTTTCGTGTTAAAACTCGAATGTAAATAATCGGAAGAAACCTTTTTGTAAAATTTTGTAGGCACAGTTCTTGCAACAAAATTAGACTTTTTCTCATTTTGCTTTGTCGCCGGCAATGTGGTTGTAGTAACAATGGTACAACTTTTTAATTCCCTTGGGTCAACATAAGCAATATCGTTAGAAGGAGAAAAAATCGATTGTTCTTGGTTTGGTAACAAATCTGACATACGTTCTTCTGTAACTTGCACCAACGTTTTGTCTGCTATAGGGAGAAGACATTTCAACTTGTGCCATTTAATTTGCTTAGAGATTTAAAAACATCTTTGGCTGGGTAGGTGCTAAAAACACAATGTCTTCAACAAAACATAAATTAAATTCATTACAATAATGAAGTTTATTGATTTGTATTTCAATCATATATAGTAGCTTGACACAAGAATAAAAAATGTGTTTCATAAGCAGATATTCGAACATATAAACCATTCGTCGTACAAGTGTAAGCAGATCCCTATATCACAATTTGTTACCAAATTTCTAATACGCAGGCACAATATTAAATGTTGACATTATACAAGTTTTCTTGCCTCCTTCCGTGTATTAACTTCTGGAAAGAAAGTGCAAATATTAAGAATTCTTACTTACATTACACAAGTTAACTATTGCTTCCGTCGGAACATAAGTTTTGAATACGTGCGCGTTAAGCTAATTTCACACTATGAAAAACGGAAGGATTTACCTCCAACTGAAATAAGAATTAATTTTTCATTTAAAATTTTCTTGCTTCTTATTTCAGCTAATCGTGATTTGCGTCGGTCAACATTTCTTAATGTAAATGTGGACTTAATTCTGTACAATAGTTTAAGGATGAGAAGATGAAATTCAAAATTAAGTGATTCTAATTTATAGTTAAATACGTAGCCAAATGCAGTGTATTTCTAGACATTCTTAACACAAGTATTTGGTAGGGTTTAGGTTAAAATGTCGGTAAAGGTTTGCTATAGCAAAATATTCTATTTGTATGTTTGTACAAACCTGAAGTAAACAAGGTTAATTCTGACCACATTAAATATTCTCAGTTTTGGTTAAACATAATATTTATTTGAGTTTTAATTAACATAAACGAAACAAATGTGTCAAAACAACGTTACATTTATAATGCTTAGACAATGATAAATAATATACTATATGTGTTGTTAAATTCAATAATAAAATGTGAGATAATTACTCTGTTATCTCTGTATAAATAAAAGCACGAATAAAAAATATTTTTGGTCGACCTTTCCATCTTTTTTTATACGCCCTCATTATTTAGCGTATTTATTATTGAAGACCGCAAGGACACGATACAAGAAAAATAACTTTATTAAATTCCATCAAAAGGTGCCAGGCTTCTTTAGCCTAACTTCGCAGAATTTTAGTTAGCGATTAGGTCGTAATGGGTACATATTACACCACAACATGATGTGATAATATAATTTATATTAATGATAAAGTTTAAATGATTTATATAGAGCTGCTAATGTTATAAATTCCAAGTTTTTATAAATATTTTGTGTAGAAATTTATGGTAAGATTTGTTGCTAGAGCGTAGCATATTGTTTCTATAATTTACTTCCCCTAAGTCGACAAATAAGTATTTTTTTTAACAGAATGTCAGCACTGTGGCTACATTTTATATTGCTTCTTTTAGGAAACATACTCACAATTTGCTGTATGAAGCAAGTCAGCTTGTTTCTTACTACAATACCAGATCGTATAAAAATAAATAAACATTTAAAGAGTTGCACTCGTTTAAGCTTTTACGGAAACGTACATCCTTTTCCATATTTTCAACAATGAGCATGTTTTTATATATATATTAAGATCAACAGAAAATGTTAAAGTATGCAATGGTATTAAGGCCGTTTGGAATGTTATATCTAATGTTTGTGTTTTTAGATTTTATGAGGGTTTCTGTGATCATAAGCTGAAACATGTAGCAGTTTTCTAGGAAAACAAATTACTACGTCGCTTTAGAGAACCAAATTTTTGTCTGCATCCAGAGAAATTTTGTTTTGGCGCAGAACTTCAAATGGCAGGGCAGTTTTGTGGGCGTTCCTTCTGTTTCATTATCAGATGGAAAATCCTCAAATGACATATTACTAAAGCCCGTCTTAGCCGAATTTGAAGCAGGATTAAAGGGAATAGCTGAAGAAGAAAGTGTATTCTTTTGTAAATTTGCAGTGATGTTTGGAATTATATTCCCTGTTCCATCATCGTCACACTCATTGGTATGTGCTTTATACTTTGGAGAACGCTGATGCTTTTGCTTTGAAGAAATTACGCTTACGTTTGAAGCTGAATCTTTCGTGTTAAAACTCGAATGTAAATAATCGGAAGAAACCTTTTTGTAAAATTTTGTAGGCACAGTTCTTGCAACAAAATTAGACTTTTTCTCATTTTGCTTTGTCGCCGGCAATGTGGTTGTAGTAACAATGGTACAACTTTTAATTCCCTTGGGTCAACATAAGCAATATCGTTAGAAGGAGAAAAATCGATTGTTCTTGGTTTGGTAACAAATCTGACATACGTTCTTCTGTAACTTGCACCAACGTTTTGTCTGCTATAGGGAGAATAGTTCGATCATCATTATAGCATGTTTCCAATGGATATGGAGTACAACCCGTTAGGAGTTCTGGCGTACCTAAGGAACTATTTACCACAGTTTGCCTTTGTGGAAGCTCAACATGTGAAGACTTATTTGGTTGGAATATAGGCACATTGGCGTATGGAGGGGGATCTTTTTTCTCATTTACAGGCAACCCACTTTGTGGTGCTAGAGCCCTGGTAACAATGCTGCCCTCCTTAGACACGTTATATGGTTCTGGTGTTTTATTTATAATAATGGAAGAATTAACAGTTACAAGTTGAGCTGTTGGATCCGTTCCGACTTCTTTAGTGGTATTAGAACTTTTATAGATATTTACTTTAGGATTGTATAGATTCATATTTTTCTTTTTGCTACACTCTTCTGCACTTCTGGTGAATGGATCCGATTCAAAAAAATTGCTTTTAGGGCATACCGAGTTCAAGGGTTCAACAGGATTATTTGAAATGACTTTTACTGTTCCGTAAAGGGATGAGCTTTGTACTTCCTTATGAATGTTGTTACTACGTTGTTTGTTATCAACATATTCGAAAGGGTTAAAGACAGGTTCATTAAAATTGTCTAAAACTTGGTCTGGGCCCGAAACAATGGTTGGCCCATCTTTTTCACTTGTTTTAACAAAACATTTAATGGGCGTCGATGTCCACATTTCCGTACTTGAGTCCGGAATATTCCCTGCAACTGTGTCAATAGATTTTTTCCTGGAGCTATATTTGCCATGTAGTTTCTTTTTGATATTCCCAATTTCTTTTTTATTAAACGGTGCCATTGCAAAAACATCTAGTTCGTCTTGGTCTTTGCAATTAACTACAATTTTAAGAGCGTTACTTTCTTCGAATGTATTTATGTTGGTATCGATGTGAGCGTTTGGTATAGATTGGAGGCAGAGTCTGTCTCCTCTGAGCCATAGTCTAATTCGTCATCCAAAAGTAGAGGTTTATCGCCAAACGCATTGAGGAATTCTGAAGGATGTTCATCTTGTTCACAGCTCAAGTCCGAAAGGGCAGATGCAACAGCTAAAGCTTCATTTGCGGAAGCAGCACAAGAGTTTCTGTCTTTTTTTCGCATACGCACTTTTACCACTACGCGGCTACTATCATCTTCGTGTGTCGTTACCGATTCACATTCGGCATGGTATGCGGATGAGCTGCAAGTCTTCACGCTTTCGCTTACGCCGTCCAAATCGGGTCGTTTTAATTTACAATTATTTCGGGATATATGACTTACATGATTCTCATCGAAGAAGTCATCTTCTGTCCTTAGATCGGAAGCGGAACCAATGGAGTCAGCGTCATCATTACATTTACTTATATCATCGACAATAGTTTCCATCATTTCGGCTTGCTTTTGCTGTTTTTCATGTTCTTCCAAAACTGCATTTACTTCCAGAGCAGCTTGGTGAGCTGCTGATGACGGTCTCTTTGTTGTTGTTTTCTCTTTCAGTTTTTTTACAATCGGAACTTTAATGTGCGTTTTGTCTACCTTATGATATGCTGCCTGATGAATTTTATGAATTGTATCTGGAATGTTGTTTGTGACAATTTGTTTAAAGATTGCTTTTTTGGAGGTACCGCAACTAGCAGTGCAATTTTCTTGGAAGAATTCCGAATCGGAGTCATCCGAGGTCACCATTTCGTTGCTACGTAATTTTTCATATTTATTTCGGTCGTCAAGAGCAAGTTTTACGAAAGGAATTGATGTACCAGTGGTATTTATTGTTGAAGAGACATCTTGTTGTAGAGGTTGTCCATCATAGTCTGTTTTCAAAGTGGTTATAAGGGATGTTCTTTCTTCATTTACCTCCAACGTCGGCGATAGAAGCCATTTTGAAGATGTTGATAAATTTATATTACCAGTACCACTGCCAACAATATGACTTGTATTTGAACCAAAAACACCGCTTGTGTTATTGCTTGCCAAAAGATATTTTGCTGTTAAAGAAAATTAAATTCTTTTATGCGATAAAAACGGTATGAAAAATACGTATATAATTTTAAATTATGTATGCTTGTACTATATATATTTACAGTGAAGTCACCCAAAAGCATTTATAGTTTGTCAAGTTTTTTCATTAATATATAAATAAATCGCTGTTATATTTGTATTGAATTGTCCTAATTCCTTCTTTGAACTAGGCTGAATGAAGTAAATGCTTCCAACATCTTATGCCATTTTATATTTAATCAGATCCCAGAGTGTCATTCAATACAAATGTTGAAATATTTAGAAAAAAATTATATATATATTGAACATTTTCAGTTATATTTAATGGATGCAAAATACTCCATTTTTTCTTTGGGTCTGCAAAGTATTACGCAGTATCAAAAAGGGTAACTAATTAAACAGTTATTTGTTAATTTAATATATAACGGCAGGAATATTTAAAAAAAAATAGATATGTTTGGTTATTTTCGGCGAGCAGAATATCACTTTAACAAATTTGAGTATGGTAGAGAAAGTGCGACAATCCAAGCATCCATCTTAATCAAGGGATAACTTCTCTGGAAGATGACGGACTCGGTGACTTGATAATGTTGGACCTAGTACAAGAAGCTGGTGCATCCTGAATTCCTGCAATAGGTGGTAAGAAGTCTGGGCGGAGCTAGGTGCAGATTAATTTGTATCATCGCAAGATAGCGGTTGCCGTAATCAACCAAACACTCTCGACGATAAACATCGATATTGCCTTAGTCCAGAAATCCTATCTACTCAATGAAAGGGTCTCCCGACTGAATGACAACACGGTTTTCTTCCCTACAAATTGGGTAAAGAAACTGTATAGTTGAAAAAAGGATTATAAATTAGTTACTTCTTTCTAATTTCTGTTGAGAGAACATCACCATTACTAACTTCATCCAGTATTTTGTAGTAATGGCAATACAAGGATATTCTGGAACTAATAGAGTGTACACAATATGTGTCCGTGATGTAATGCAAGTGACCATCACTTTTACTGAGATAGCAGCGACAGAAAATTAATAATCTCCAAATGTGCGATAAGGTTAACACACAACTTTTTAAAATAGGCACATTACTCTCGGAAGATACCGCTCTTATCTGGCTATTGCTCTTTTTAGATTCCAAGACGATATCTTTTCAAGAGGCTACCTGCGAAGCTGAAGAAATCATTAGCAGTATAAGAAGACAGACTGAGGTGAAATTCGTAAAATACTTCCTAAGGACCCCAAACCAATAAGCAGTATAAAACGAATTGATGGTAAATGGCCTAACTCTGGTCTGGAGACTTTGACGTTCTATTGGGTACTCGCTTCCTTGATTAGAAGAGTGAAAGTGATGTTGAGCAATCAATAACATCTACCCCCAAGACATGCAGGGCAACATGTGAGGCTCATATAAAGGACACCAAATTACTCCAAGCTTAAATGGACGATCAGCAACTTTCAACCCTGTAAGTCCCTTGGTCCCGATTGTACCCTGACTGCAGTGTTACAAATAGCATCTGAGTCGATGTTGCGTATTTTTCAGGAATTTTTAAGGCTTGTCTCAGGTTTTGTTCTGTGCCTAATCTGTGAAAGGATCTGTGTTGAGCAATCACTAACATCTACCCCAAAGACATGGAGGTTTTTCAGGTTTTTTTCTGTACCTAATCTGTGAAAGGAGGTAACATTGAGCTTTATTCCCTAAGCTAGCCAAACAATATATAATGACTACAGATTGATTACCCATTCGAACATTCGAAATAATTTTTTACAATTATAAGTTTAAAGTGTTTAAGAGCTGTGTTCCTTTGTCCGGTAAAGCAAAAGAATTTTTTTGTTCAAATTGGAAATTTATGTAAACAAGAAATGCAAGATTGAACTCCCATATTTTGTGAAAATTACGGACAAATTCTCTGTAGCATGATGAACAAATAATCATAAAATTTTTGAGTTGAAGTAAATCAGGCACGGTCCGCTTTGCTACGAAATTGAATTAACGAATCCAATTGTGATACTCTATTCTTATGAGCAACATTTTCCTGCAAGGGCATTTGGCATCAATCAAAACAAATGGTAGTTAAAATAAGGTCATGGCTATTAAGTGGGTGGCAGGTTGCCTGGCCAGGTGTATTGTTCATCTTACTTTCCACTAAATCGGAATCACTATTTTAGTACCATGACACTGCATAAAAGCGTTTTCTTCAATTAAAAATTATTGCCATTTTGGGCAATGAATTCGACTTTACTTTAGCGATTAAAAAGTGTTTGGAATCTTTTGAACCTAGATCGGATTCATCTAAATCGGAAGCACTATTTTAGCACAATAGCACCGAATAAAATGATTGCCATTTTGGGCAGTGGATTCGACTTTATTTTAGCGATTTAAGTGATTCAAATCTTCTGAGCCTATCAAATATTGAGTCATAGTTAATTTTTTACCTTTAACCCATTTCGTTCAGAGATTTAATTTTTGCTTTTGAAAAAATTTACTTCTTTAGTGTAGTTTGGTCGCACTGATATCAAAAAATTACTCAGAAAAATTGTACATTCTTTTTTGTTTTTTCCAGAATCCAATGCTCAAATTTCGAAAAGTCAACATTACACATATGTAAAATCAAGCTTGTGTATGCAAACCATGCTTTTTATATTTAGCGCAACGGTTACACATATTGGCAATAATTCCTCATCATTATTTTTTCCATTTGTTATTTTTTAAAATTAATTTAAGTAGTATCCAAAAATATGGGTTTCAGAAATGTACCTTTACCATCGAGGGGGAGGGGGTATTTTTAGGGGGCAGGGGGATATTTTTAGGGTTGAATTTGTTTTAATTACTGATAGATGACTCTTGCTGCCTACACAAACATTTGTTTAAAATTTTACCCTTTTCATATCCTTTTTTTTTTTGAAAGAGTGTTTATACTCTTGGAACAATCGAACAGAAATGGGCTAAAGTAGCATAATTATTATAATTGAGGCAAATCACACGAATCGGCATTAACATTTTTAGCCAATTGCAAGGATCCTAACAGCGGGAGTTCCATAAATTTGAAATTCTGCTCAGAATTAAAAACTTTTAAATGTCAAAGAAAATATTTCTAGCTAACGAATGTATTGCGTTTTTTAAAATGCATACATAAACAACAACCTTTCCTATGCTAAGTTTTACGTGGTTTGGCCAAAGGTCGATTAAAAATATAAGAATAATTACTTGTTTTAAAGTACCAAGCATATCCTAATTAGTGTGGCTAAAGCACACAGGTAGATTTTGGTTTGCCACAGGGACAAACCAAACAAGAAATTAATAGAAAAATCTCAAATTTAATTAGGGTTATTTACTATTACCGGACACCGCTCAAAGTTCCCCAAAAACAATAGTATTTCTATTAAACATTCAAAAAATGTCCACAAGAACATACTCCGATAAAATATTGGAATATTTTTATATAATATAATACAAATGGAGTTTTGAAAGTAAAATAAAAAACTTTTAAATGTCAAAGAAAATATTTCTAGCTAACGAATGTATTGCGTTTTTTAAAATGCATACATAAACAACAACCTTTCCTATGCTAAGTTTTACGTGGTTTGGCCAAAGGTCGATTAAAAATATAAGAATAATTACTTGTTTTAAAGTACCAAGCATATCCTAATTAGTGTGGCTAAAGCACACAGGTAGATTTTGGTTTGCCACAGGGACAAACCAAACAAGAAATTAATAGAAAAATCTCAAATTTAATTAGGGTTATTTACTATTACCGGACACCGCTCAAAGTTCCCCAAAAACAATAGTATTTCTATTAAAACATTCAAAAAATGTCCACAAGAACATACTCCGATAAAATATTGGAATATTTTTATATAATATAATACAAATGGAGTTTTGAAAGTAAAATAAAATTCTGAATAACGCACTATTTCGTATAAAGAAATTTTCGCTGGTGGCTAAACTAAATTTTTAACTAATCATTTAGCTGGTATGTATTTTATGTCCCATTACTTTTTTGTTAGTTTCACACCATTCTCTTTACAACTATTTTTTTCGCCACATTGTGTGTATAGTTTCTTATTCAGTATTTATGTCCTGTTATTTAGTTCCTCTATACATACTTATTTTTTTCATAACGAATAATAGTTTGTTATACAGTGAAGTGCAAATACCATTCTAGCAATTCTTATAAACGTGCTTCTTATATGATATAATTTTGCTATGGAAAATGGCATGGTGCTTTGAAAAAAAATTCTTTCATCCATTTTTTTCTTATATAGAATGTGGTTACATGCTTGGTCTGCTGTTAGGGGTGCAAGTTACCTTCTTCCAAATTGTTATACACTTAGCCATATGGCTAGAGATGGTGTATATCATTTGATACGGTCGAAATAACGGTTTTAGACCCTAGGTCTCGTTGGACCAAATCCATTTCAGGACATTTGGAGCCGATCTAGCGATGTCCATCCGTCCGTCTGTCTGTTCGGCTGGCTAGTGCGCACTATAACTCTCGAAGGGAGCATCCGATTCGGTCCAAACTTGGTACATCGCAATATTTTTGTCAAACTTATATCGATTTCGGAGATGGGCAATATCGGTCCACTCCTTTTGGTACCCTCCCCACAAAAGGTCGAAATTTTCAAAAAATATATTTTCTGCACAAAAACAGGAACGATAATCCGATTTTGCTCCAACTTTACAAATCCTAAGAGTCCGATTATCTTCAAATTACACACAACCCAATATTTATATTAACCCAAGATCTGGTGTTAAGATGGGATACATCGGTCCACTCCTTCTGGTACCTCCTCCACATATGGTCGAAATTTTCAAAAAATATATATTTTCTGCACAGAAAGAGAAACGATAATCCGGTTTTGCCCCAACTTTGGAAATCCCTATATCTGCGTCAGTGCTAGGTCAGGTGCGAAAATGGATAATATCAGTCCACTCTATTATGTTCTCCCACAAAGGGTCAACATTTTTAATAATTATAACTCAT